TTGGTCTGAGAGAGGTAATCGGCAGGAGGCGGTCTCTCAGGTACCCAGGTCCGATGCCATGTAGGGCTTTATAGGTAGCGACCAGCACCTTGAAGTGGATTCGGAGACTAATAGGTAGCCAGTGCAGCTCGCGGAGGATAGGTGTAATGTGGGTGTACCTTGGTGCACCCACAATCGCTCGCGCGGCTGCATTCTGGACTAATTGGAGTCTTCGAACACTCTTCAAGGGCAGCCCCATGTAGAGCGCATTACAATAATCCATTTCTTGGACCATCAGGTTTTTCTTACATTCTTTCAATTTGTACATCTAGTTGCAGGTAAATAGGAGAAGAAAAAGCTTTACAATTGTATTCTAGTGAATGAATGAATGAATGAATGAATGAATGAATGAATGAATGAATGAATGAATGAATGAGTAAACTAATCCTAAAGCAGGAATGAGAAGAACTGTCAGATATAGATGTATGCATTGTTCCTATTTTGTTATTTTTCGCCTTGATTTTCACGTGCTGTTCATCCTGACTTTTTAATCATCTTAAATATCTGCTTTCTTGCAGTTTTGTTTAAAAATTCTGAAAACAATCTACAAACCTCCCGACATTCACATGCAGCGTTCAGGGCACCATAGTTTTTCTTCCCTCTCTGTTCACTTATTCTTTGTTATTGGACTGAACGCATCCTGTGCTTTTGCCAAAAAAGCTTTTCAATTTATTCCACCTCATATGCAGGCAATAGTAACTTTGAAAACAAGGGAAACAACGGAATAACAAGACAAAAGGCTGTGTTCAGAGAAAAAGGAGGAATAGGAGAGAGTGATGTGCAGTTGATGGTAACGTTGCCACGGTAATAGAATGGCTTTCATTCAGATCTCCCAGCCTTCCCTCCCTCTCTCCTTCTTTCCCTCTTGCTAGGACAAAGGCATTTTCTAGTACCTGTGGAATGTATGGATGGATATATGCTTGCTTAACAGTTAAATAGTAGAAAGTGGAAATAAATAGAAATAGGACAACAATTAAAACTATCTTTGGGAATTCAATAAGAATTCTTGATAGGTCTAGTAAGTAACTACAACAAATGTGTGTAGAAGCATTCAAAGTAATCTAATCTATGCTGTAAAACTGCCTGCCTTCTCTTAAATGCCTTTGCTGGCTCTTGATTGCATAGAGATAGCAATTAGCAGATCTGAGCGGCAAAACGTCAGATGGCCACTAGATGTCAAGAAGGCTTTCTAGATGTCTTTGGTGCCATTGAATGGTGATATAGACTTTTACAATTGCATCATCACCGAAAGAAATATTTTGGTATCTGAGGTGGAATATTAAGTGTTGTCCAGCCCAAATTTGCAAAGCTAGGCAGTCTTCAATCCTAGACCTGCCTGCTGCATTTGGTCTAATTTCTGCAGGCAAGCATTTGAATATTCATGCAAAAGCAATTCATCCTTTCCTTGGTACCATTTTTCATAGGGTGGAAGTGACATAGCTGCGAGAGAATACCAGAGAAATAAAGCTGGATGTCAAACATTGTGACAGTGGAAATGACCACTCACTTTTTGATCTGATCTTATATCTCCCACTGACTTGTCTCATTGGTTTATGCTCTCTATCAGATTCAGTTCAAGAACTTGATCCATGAGAATTTAAGGAAAGTCAACTCATTTGGCACCGAAGGCAGAATATTTCCAAGTTGATTAGTATCATTGATTGTTAATACAATTATATGTCAATAATCTTATTCTTCTCAGCCACCTTACTCTTCTTCAGGGTAAAATTAGCCCTTTGCACTGGGAACATGCACCTGCATTTTTCTTACACCTTTTACATGAATATTTATTCTGTGGTTTTGATGTGTTATACATATGTTTGAGTTCAATAATTATATAAACACGTAATTGCATTTGAGAATTTCCTAATCTCCTTTTTAAGTCTAGAAACTTGTCAAATAATTCAATTTTCTCAAAAGGAATTTGGAAAGGTCAACTCAAGAACAAGTTTTCCTTAAATTATGTAGTTATTCCACCATATATGGTTTTAAAATGTGCCATCAAATTGGTGCCAAATCTTAGCAACCAGATACTGTAGATAGATTGTGTCCAAAATAATCTGTCCCCAATCAGTTTTAGGTCTTCTAGGATAATCTGGCCCCAATGTGGTTCTTCAGATCTTCCGGCAGTGACTCCATCTACTGAGTTCAACCACTTCTCTTCTTCTCTTTCCTCCCACTTTTCCTAACTCTATAGATAAGTAGATATTTGTATATGTCCAAATATGATAATTCAATCGTGTGATAATACACACATACCAAAAAACCCTCTAATCTTTGGTATATTCACAGCCCAAAGTTTAACTGATTGTTGACTCTTTGGCAAACACATACTGCTCAGTAATAGATATCTCAGTATCCCTACAGATGTACAAGTAGATTATTGAATTCTGTATCAATCTCCCTTATCCAGGATATCTTTTCTAATGTTAGGCAGACAGAACCCAAAATATGGGCACAAAATATTCTCTTGGGGGAAAAAAGGAAACAAGCAAATATTCTTTGGCGCAAATCTAGATTTAACCTTCAGAATTCCAAATGGAAAGGAGGGCTTGTTCCTGAGATACGTAGCTATTTTTGCTCAAAGTTCTGAAACAATAGTTCAAATAAATAAGGAGTTGAATCTAACAATTAAATGCAAAAAAACTCCCACCCCATAAACAATAGTAATCTCTTTAAAATGTATTGAAGAGCTTCCTGCCTGCTTTGATAAGGATATTTCAGACAATCCAGCTGCAGAAACCATTAATTTTGTTCAACTTATAAATTCGTAACAATCTGTCTGAGGAAAACAAGAATGCATCCAATACATATACAGTAGCTTTATTATTAATTCTGTGTGCTTACCTCCTGGAAAACATTATTAAAGATGCATAAGCCCCTTTTTTATTCTCAGCACCTTAGTAAAGCGTGTTTTAAAAGTGTTACACCAATTACATAACATGGCACCATTGATCAAGAGGGTTTTTTTTTTTTTTTGGAACTGTTGAATACAAGGTCACAGTGAAGTTCTGTGTGCTACAACCAGCTTTTATGCTGATCTCAGAGAGACATCTGACAATAATGCTTTCTCTATCCAGTAGGGAGAGGGAAGAATTCACCCTTTTGTTCTNGCGGATGCAATAAGGGCGGCAAAATGCGAACATTTCGCCGCCCGTATTGCCACGAGATAGGCTCTGATAAAGGCTCTCATCAGTGCTCGGTCTGACTCAGATTTACTGGCCTCCAGCGATGCTCTAGGCGTCTCTTCATTTTACTACAGATGCAAAAGTATAGAAAATTCCAATTCTGATATTTGAAACAATAAAGACTTTATAACAACTTTACGAAAAGTATCCTGATTCTTACTTTTTTTTTAACAGAGTGTGTATGCTTTGCCTACCATTGCATTTGCATTTGTATGCCATCCATCAGTCCTTCCAATCTACAGTGAACTTAAAGAGTAAGAGAACATTTATTACTGATTATTAAAAAAGAACATTTTCATCTGAATGATAGGAATATTGAGTTATATACTGCAGTGCTGTCATTATCCAAAGGAGAGGGAATATTTGACACTGTGCCCTCCCCTCAGCATTCCAGAAAGATTTGATTCACTTGAGAGGGGGATTGACATGTTACTCGCTGGGCATTTTCTTTAGATTTGCACAGCTATTTGTAGAAACACCAACAATGCTAACACAGTCTAAATGAATCTTGAGCTATAGCACCATTGTTCACATCTGGCTCAAAGGCAGCTTAACCTAGCAGATCTCTATAAATGATGGGGGTTTTTTCTCCCTCTCCCTTTTAACCTTACTCTTTCAATCAGGTGTTTAAAAAAATTACGAATTACAATGTTTCCCCCAAAAGAAGACCTGGTCTTATTTTCTTTTGACCCCCGAAAAAATGGCTAGGGCTTCTTTTTGGGTGGGTCTAATTATTGACTCACCAACAGCCCCGCGGCAGGCCCACTTCTGCAACCGCTTGCCGCCACTTGCATGCATCGCCCCCAGCCTCCATTTCCCCATCAAAACCTTCCTTGAAAGCCCTCTGCAGCTGAGAAACAGGCTCTGGTTTGACGCACGCAGTGCCCCCGGCTTCCATTTTGCTGTCAGAGCCTTCCAAAAAGCCTTCCCCAGCCAATAACAGAGAGCTGTCCAGAAGGCTCTGATGGCAAAATGATCAATCTGGAGCTCTTTTATCGGCTACAGAGGGCTTTCAGGAAAGCCTCTGTAGCTGATAAAAGAGCTCCAGATCGATCTGGAGTTCTGTTATCAGCTGCAGAGAGCTTTACAGAAGGCTCTGATGGCAAAATGGAGGCTGGGGTGGTATGGTCAATCTGGACCTGTTTCTTGTTTGCAGAGGGATTTCCAGAAGGCCTCCGATGGAGAAATGGAGGCGGGGGGGGGTCCTGTTTCTCAGCTGGAGAGGGTTTTCTGGAAGGCTCTGATGGTGAAATGGGGGGCGATGGCCAGTGGCGACGTGTGCGAATGCAGAAGAAGGCAAGGAAGGTGTCAGGGTATGTGAGGCCTGGCAAGTAGGGCCGTTCCAACCCCCCCCCCATCCCCCCCATCTTAATTTTTACCTTGCCCCATGCCCTGCACCCTGGGGTGGGTGGGATTTTAATTAGGGCTAATTTTGGGGCTAGGGCTTCATTTGAGTCCATGCATTCAGAAACATGATAGGGCTTCTTTTGGGGGTAGGTTTTGTTTTAGGGGAAACATGGTATATCACTAAAATTTGGAAGGCAGGGTATATTGAATTCTCAAGTCTTTGGAGGCTTTTTTGTTTTAAATACATATAAGCCTAATTAAAAATCTGAAAGCACAGATATTTTCTGTATCCTGTAAGGTTTACATGCCTTAAGGCAGAATCATAATCCCAGAAATTGTATAGGGGTTATAGGTATATAAGTAAAGTAAATTACCCTGAAATTTTCCAAGTGTTTGGACTTGGTGTCAAACCCAAGGGGTGTCAAACTCGCAACCCGCAAGCCAATTGCATCACATGTTGGCCCTGCCCCCACCCGGTTTAGCGAAGGGGGGAAAGTCCCAAAATGTCACACGATGATGCTATGACGCTGCAAGTTTGACACCCCTGATCTAGCCTGTTTCCTGTTAGCTGAGGTCCTTAAATTAGAAATTCAAGTTATTAAGCTTAACAGTTTATGTAAGCACAGTGTATACTGCTATAATGAGCTACTACTGCTTAATAGCCTATTTTGACCTACCATGGGTTTTTTTGATGGTTCGATGATTGCTTAGTACTGACACATTGAGGAAAATATTATTTATACATCAGCCTCAAAGGATTTACAACTTTTCATTACTTGGTTTGCTGTTTTGTTTCTTCTTTACTCTTTAACCAGATTAAAATATTCTTTGTAAACCAGATTCATGTTGTTGCTTAAATCAACAAATAGTTTTTTTCTTACAAGTCAGTATTACCTTCTTAGAACAATCTCAGAAATCTTAGTGCATTATTGCCTTTATCCCTATAGATCGGGGGGGGGGGTCAAACCCATGGCCTATGGGCCAGATGGATCACACGCTGGCCACCCCCACCCCCGTTTTAGCAAAGGGGAAAAAGTTATGATACATTACATGACAACACTGTGTCATCATGAGTTTGACACTCCTGCTATAGATCATACATTTATATTTCTCTTGTCCTAGATTTTTAGCTGGTGGATATTTGATTGCATTTGATATCAGATTTAAATATAAACTCGAATGATGATACTACATGATATTATATGTATTTTGTTGATTTATTTATTTATTTAAAAATGTCTTATCCCATTTTAATGCATAGATGTTATTTTGAAGTTGAAAGTTAAAATGGGATCAAAATTAGCATCAATTAAAAATAGTTATCCAATAAAATAATATTAAATAACAGCAAGCATAGTCTTGGAATATTTTTTTCTGTCTGTTACGTAAAGACTTTCTAAAAATCTTGCTGAAAATCCACCAGAGAAGGGGCTAGCCTGTTCTCCCAAGGCCAGATATTAAATGGCTTGGATGCAGCTATTGTGAAAGTCCTTTCTGTTGTCCTTAAGATACTTGCTTTCATTACTTTCAGGACACAGAGAAAGAACTTTCCATCAAAATGTACATGCAGCCAAACTACCTCTAAGAAGTCTTGAATAAGCAATTTATATGTCTTCACTAATGCTTTGAATAGACATAGTAACAAATTCTATTCTAAATAGTAGTAGGTAGGAAACCAGCATAGATTCAGGATCTAAAAGAAGGGTTACAATGAATGGGGATGGATTCTTTCTTTCATTTCATAATCACAACAGAATCCTTCTCTTCCACTTCAAGAACTACCATAGCTTTCCTATAAAGCTAGATAGGAATTTTGGACATTACCGAAATAGGCTCACTGCAATCATTCCAGCAGCTGTTGTTTGTATTGAGAGAAAAATAAACTCACAGTGTTAATCCACATGTTTAATCACATATATTACTATACTTACAGTAAGTTCATTCATTTGCTTCCACTATAGATAGATCTTTGCACGGGCCCACTTGCATTGCTCTGACACTGTTACTAAGAATCTTGCAAAAAGAAATGAGGTAGGATGCTGGGAAGGAATAGCAATAGCAATAACAGTTAGACTTATATACCGCTTCATAGGGCTTTCAGCCCTCTCTAAGCGGTTTACAGAGTCAGGATATTGCCCCCACAGTCTGGGTCCTCATTTCNTGGCACACAGAGCCCTCTCTGCAGGCATGCGAGCCGTCGCCCCACTCAGGTCCACCATGCACGTGTATGCACCTCCCGTTGGCCAGCTGATTTTCGGGTCTTTGGTGCACATGCGCAGAGGGGGGCAGGGAGCATGTGGTAGATGCACATGCATGCACGGGGGTCGCATGTGCATGCATGGGGGTGGGAGAAGCATGGGGGATAGTTGTGTTTTTGGTCCCAGGAGGCTGCAGGGAGACCAACTAGGCGCAAAATGGGGTGTGCGTGAAGGTGGTGTTGCACCTGTATTGCATTATGTGTGCACGCTTTGGGCATGTGATGACAAAAAGGTTGCCCATCACTGCTTCATACAATGGATTATCCATATATAGAGATATGTTATCGGAATCAGCTCTTGGTTCAACATCGGAGAGTTACTGGATGATTGATTTACTGTATTTATTGGATTTTTTTAAAAAGTTCCATCCAGATTTATTATTTTTGTAAATAGCCCAAGGCAGTAAACCTAATATTCACCGGAACACCTGTGGAACACTTAATATTCTTCCTTCTTCTATTTTCCCACAATAACAATCCTGTGAGGTGAGTTGGGCTAAGAGAGTGTGATTGGCTCCCAATCACTAAGCCAGCTTTCACACCTCAGGCAGGACTAGAACTCACTGTCTCCTGGTTCCCAGCCTGATCCCTTAACCACTTGATCAAGCTGGCTAACAGTGATTAGTGCATTATACACTATTAGGACATGACTTAAATTAATGACTTAGATATAGACACAAGCGCATACAGTATCTTTGCCTTCTATCCCACTTCTTTGGGAATCTCTCATAACACATCTTATTTTACTGGGACAATCAGTAATAAATTAAGGTAGGTTATATAAACAAAATGACGTAAGAGCAGCCCGATTTAGTGTCACTCTTCCTTCAACACAGATGGTCCTTGACTTATGACCACAACTGACCCCAAAATTTCTGTTGCCAGGTGAGACATTTGTTAAGTGAGTTTTGCCCCCTTTTGCCAAGGTGGCGCAGTGGTTAAATGCAGCACTGCAGGCTACTGCTAGATCAGCAGGTCAGCGGTTCAAATCTCACCGGCTCAGGGTTGAC